GGTTGGCGGGCGCTTCAGCACTGAAGATGCCTCCTTCCTGCGCCTCTTGGCTCAACACCGTGCCGCCAGCGTCGCGGCACCGCTGCGAGCGGCTGCGCGCGCTGGCTGGGTGCAGAGGTGGTCTGGGATGCTCGCTGTTGCTGCGATGCGAGCCTACGCGGCTTCTCTGCTCGAGCTCCCACCCGCTGGTGAGGCCTGCGTTGCGGGTGAGGCGCCGGAACTGCATGAAATCCTCGCGGATGTGCGGGGCAGCCTCCCCCCGACCAGCAGCCGCCTCCCGGCGCCAACCTCACGCGCTCCCTGAAACCCGCCGTAGGCTGTAGCTCCGGTTGCACTGGGACCGCGTCGACGGCTTCAAAAAGGTGCGTGGAAAAAAAAAGAGCTCCCCGCATTCAGACCAGCCGATTTTTCAATCTTTAGTGCAGACTTCGGGTTTAGTAGCACTAAACACCTGGGGACGCGGAGGCCGCTCGGCAGGAACTTTTCTGCAATTCGATCAGCACTCCGTGCAGATTGATTTTGCCTTTTCCCGACTGCCGGGAACCCCTCCAGAGCGCAGCACGGCATCCTGTCAACAGGCTCCAGTGATCCACCCTACAGGGCTCAGACATGTTCCGGTTGTTGGGTTTTTAAGCACCCTCCCGACTACCCCACACAAGGGGCAGCCGTCCAAACCTCGCCCCCAGCAGATCAAGGAAGCTCTGAAACTGAATCCTCAACTAGAAGAACAATTTCAGCAGCAAGTAGCCACCCTCCTACCCACACATTCCATAGACGAAGCCCTACAGATAGGATGGAAAAACTGTGCCTCGGCCACAGACCTGACCACGCCACCCCAAACCCAGCCAAACAACGTCCATGTCTAAAGTCGTTCTGGGCCTCAAAACAACACCTTCGAGATCTCGAACTACGACTAAACAACTACTTTGTCCCGGTCTTGTGGTATGTGGCCAGCTCCGGATGGCGCGCTGTGACCCAAGCGCTCCCTAGATGCGCGAGCCGATTGCGGCTGTTCCTGCAGACGTGGCGAGCCCACATCAGGTTTAGACGGGAAGACAAGTCTTTACGACGACAGGCAAAGGCAGGGAAGGTCAGACAAGTCTCCGAGCTCATAGCCCAAGCGACCCTCCACCAGCCACAAGGGTTGCAAGCTTTGTACCGCTTGTCTAGACGATTAGCTCCCAAGTCTGCCAAGAGATCTATACATTTTCGCCACCCGGATGGCAGCCTCATGTCAGATCAGGAGGAGTTGCAGAGCCTGACGGCATATTTTCGCCAGCTCTATCTTGCGGATTTAAGACTACCCACACCCTGGCGGCTTAACCAGCCTTTGAACATAGAGCTTCGGGAGGTTCAGGCAGCCCTAAGGCAAATGTCGGCCAACAAAGCTCTGCCCCCTGGACATGCACCGGCTGCCTTGTGGAAGGCGGCAGACGCAGTGCTAGCACCGCGCGTAGAACAGGACATGAATGCAGTTCTAGGCGCAGGAAACCTACAATTTCCGGCATCCTGGCATGATTCTTACATGACTCTCATCCCGAAACCCAACAAACCCCCGACCCAGCCATCCAACTTGCGTCCTATCAGCTTATTACCTGCGCTCCCGAAGCTGCTAGCTAGAATACTGGCAGAAAGGTTGAAGCCGCATGTGCAGAATGCCCTGGCTGCGACGCCGCAATTCGCATATCTAGGCAACCGTCAAGTGTCTGATGCCCTTGACAGGGCGTTCTCGCATTGTTGCCAAATACGCGAAAAGCTTAAATCCATGGGCAGGTCTGTTTTTAAGCTAAAAGCAGGCAAGACGGAACAGTTGTTTCAGGGAGGGATGACCCTTTCATTAGACTTATCCAAAGCGTATGATCGCTTACCGCGAGAATGCCTGCTGGCTGCGCTGCAAGCTATAGACGCCCCGCCAGATCTTGTGTCGGCCATCATGTTCATACATGACAATGCGCAGCTTGTTCTACAACGACATGGCCTGGCAGACACTGCGCCTTTGGGCCAAGGGATCCGGCAGGGATGCGGATTGTCCCCTTTACTTTGGATAAGTTATACGCTACTGATTTTTCAGAAACTCAACCCTCTAGTGCCGCCACAGGCCCTCACAGGCTATGCAGACGACTTCTTGATCAACTGGACTTTCCAACACCCTAGAGATTTCTCGAATGCCTGCGCAGCTATTCCCAAAATTTTCCATGAATTGGACCAGCTAGGCATGCAAATAGCATTCGACAAAACTGTTATACTTTTGGCAATCAAAGGCAGAGCAGCCCCAGCATTGCTAAAACAGTATACATGCAAACAACGCTCGGAACGATTCCTACGGCTTGCCCAAGGGACATTCACCACACAGTTGCCCATCCGCGATTTCCACACGTATCTAGGCACTAAGATAGGATATGGGAACTTTGAACGAGCGACAGCCAGATTCAGAATGTCACAAGCGTGGGCAGCGTTTCACCGACTCCACGCGCTGCTGAAGCACCCAGCGGTGCCATTGCACAGACGACTGCAACTTTGGTCCATGTGCGTATGGAGCATCACTAGGTATGGGTTGTCGTCAACAGGGTTAGACCCTGCTAGCTCTCAGCAGCTAGCCCAGCATGTGCACCGCCAGCTCCGCATGGTGGCCCGAACCCCTGCCCACGTAAGCCATGAGACCAATGCTGCGCTGATGCATCGTCTAAAGCTGCAGGATCCTCTGGCGCAACTTGCCAGGCTGACTGCCAACAGAATAGAGCTTAGCAAACCGCTCATCGGTCACCTACAGCCACAAGTGGTTCACCAGTGGTGGGATGTGTTGCTTTCAAGTTTTCCAAGCAGTCAGCCAGAAGCCTCGCAAAGCTCGCGCCTCATTGAGGTCACGCAGGTCTTGAGTGCCCGCTGTACATGCCCGAAGTGTGGCCAGACCTTTCCGTCACATCATGCACTACAAGTTCACATAGGCAAAACCCATAAGAAGCAGGCCTCCACCCCGACCCCCAAACAACCAGCACCGCCACCATGAACAATTTCGTATACACGCATTGCATGGTATGCCCACGTGTAAACATTGCCATCGCTCATTTCATGGTTGGCCAGAGTTTTCAGGGCATTTCCGCGGCTCTGCTTGTCCCGTGTTGCACGCAGAGCCGTCCAATTCAGCACAACGCGGTCCCAAGCCTCTCCTTGCTCAAGGGGCGTTCGCGCCGAAGGAAGGCGAAGGACCGGGCTCCGAACAGAGTGAGCTAACGCCACTTTTTCACCGCACAGAGCTCCAGCTTTTAGCCAAGCAGCACGACATGAAATCACTTGCTACAGCTGTTCGTGATAGCGGCAGATTGCAGTATTGCCCAGAGTGCGGACAGTGGTGCACAGACCCTAAGTACATTACCCGTCATGCCAACAAGATTCACCCCCACCTGGCCCAACATCACAAAACCATACAAACTTGGGCTCGCAGCAAGAACCGAGCCAGCCGGCCCTGCGAGTGGTGCCACGCGACCGACGGAACCAGGCCTCTCATTCATCTTCAGTCTTGCCCGGTACTGTGGATCTGTGGGCATATGCTAAACAAGCACTCTTCCCTAACTGAAGCAGGCCAAAAGCAGCTGTCCGACGCTTTTCAGCATGGCCACCGTCCCCCTGGAGACCTTGGACAAGGAGGAACTCCTACAGGCGCAGGCGGAGCTGGAACAGTTCAGCAAGTACATGGCCAACAGGAGCGATCAGGCCCCGAGTCAGTCGTCGACGCCACTCACGGCAACGCCACCTCCCTCGGTCGCACCGGCTCCCCCACAGGAGGAAATGGATGTGGACAAGGACAAGCGCCACAGCAGCCAACAACGAGAACAAGAACAGCCTCCAGCAAAGTGGGCCAAGGGCGAGGCAAAAGGCGACAAGAACGAGCCAGCCGGCAACTTACGCCCCACCGGCAAAGGGACCTCAGAGGATCCTTTGCTAAATAAAGGCAGCAGCAGCTTTCTCGGGAATGGGAGCCCCGGCTACACCACCGTCCCCTCCGAAGCTGGAGACGACCAACACCACGGCCTCGGCGGAGCCGGCAAGGGAGACGACGATCGCGGCCGAGAACCCAGCTCAGACCCAACAGCTGGTACGACGCCAAAGCAATTGGGGAGGCTGGGGACGAGGAGGCAACGATCGCAACTGGTACCAAAGCCGATCCCAAGATCGCAACCGCCGCGACAGGGACGATGGACGCCAAAGTCGCCGGGACAGGGACCGCGACGAGGAGATGGAAACTCTCCGCGAGATGATCCGCCACCTCGCTCGGCTGGCACTCAGGTTGGAGGACGCAATGTCCATTTGCAACTTGGACAACGAGTTCCTGATGTTCTTCCAGACGAACTCCCAATGGGCAGTGACCAGCCAGTTGTTCAAGGCGGCTACAGAATGGAAGGAGCAGAAAGAATCTGCTCCCCAAAGCCTCACGCAGCCGCTGCGAAGCGTTCTTTTCTATTGCGTATGGACCAGCCTGCTGGCGCAGCTTCGGCGCATGGAGGACCCCCAGGAGGTGGATTTCATCAACGAGGTCAAAGCCCGAGGCCTCACGGAAGGCAACACATGGGTATTCTTGCGATGGGACAGCAAGGAGAAAAAACACGTGAAGGATGCCCAGGAGCCATTGGACCATGTCACGGCGGTTCAGTTGGTTCAGCAGATCCTAGCCCTTTGCGCCTACCCGGACACCATCGGCCGCTACCACTCCCTGCGACCTCTGACGTCAAGTCTTTCCTCGGATGTGATCCCCTTCATGTTGGTATTGCAAAACAGGACGCAGGAGAGTCACCAGATGTACACCTGTGTCCGCCGATTGTGCCGCAGCAGCTGCACCCACTTGGTGGGAATGACGATGAGGCCCAGCCGTCTGGGCAGATCTCCCCTAGCCCAGCAGATCGACAAGCTGCTACGCCACATCTGAGCCTGGAACCCAGCCAAGCTTTGCGCATCATCCTGTGTAATCAAGCCTCCCACTGCTACGCCAACTCTAGCATAGTCAGCCTCCTTTGGACTGCATCCCAAAGCCCACAAGGCGTGGGTCTTGCAAGCATGGCCTGGCATCGCCTCTTCCGCTGGATGATCCGAAGGCCACAGAGCATCAGCCTATGGAACCTCACCCCTTGGCAAACCCTAATGCGTAGCTGGCCTCACCCCCATAGGCAAAATGATGTTGGGGAGTTTCTACAGCACATCAGCTTCTCCTTACTTTCGCAACAAGCCCGGGGCAGCTGGGAAGCGCGCCAACTGCTTGACCCTGCAGCCCCAGCACAGGTGGCTGATCGGGGAAACATGTGGCCACTCATTCTTCCGGCAGGCCTGTCCGCTATGCAATCATCAGCCGGTGCCGTCAGTTTGCAAACACTCTTGATAGCATGGCGTTGCCAGGCGGCAATGCACGCTGCCACGGTGTTGCCAGAGCTGGTGATTTTGCAAATCAGCCGTTTCCACCCGGATGGAAGCAAAGACCCCACGCATGTGCGATTAAGTGAAGCTGTGTATATCCCGGTGTTTAGCCACGCAGGGGTCACCACAACCTCTGCCAGATACATCATTACAGCAGTAATCTACCATTTGGGTGGAAGCCTTTTACACGGCCACTACCGAGCCGCTCTTGTCGAGCAAGGCCGACTGTGCTACCAGACGGATGACAACATCTCAACAATCTCACACCAGCCGTCGGAGACAGCAACAGTAGAGCAGAATTCATACATCTTTTTCCTGAGGAAACATGTGTAACACAGGTGAGCACACTTTTTGCCTGCCGGAAAAGCCCAGCATAAAACCTTATAGTGTTTATCTCTAGGGTATATATCCTGTCGGCCTTGATCTATTGTATCGGGACTTATTTCTCCCCTTTTGACTTCCCTGTTTTATGCTGGGCCAGCACAGTAGCACGACCGGCTTTTAACAACATGTTCTTAGTATCATCAGCCACAAGCTGCGAAGCCTGAAAGCACATCTTGCTGCTTAAGGGGCGAACTCGCCGGGCGAGATGCAAGGGCTCACAGCTCGTTGGCGCTTTTAATCCTTTCGCTTTGCCACGTTCCTACTGGTACCATAAATTTACAGATACTTACCGGACTATCATACTTTCCTGTTATTTTACTCACCTTTCAGCATCATAACCAGAAGGATGGTTGAGGTCTGTCTTGGGGGGTCCAACCATTGGACCTGCATCCTCGAAGGATGCCGGCATGAGTCGCCCGCGCATCGCAAGGACGTTCTTGCGGCGTACCGAAGAAAGTATGTATGTATGTATGTATGTATGTATGTATGTATGTGTGTGTGTGTGTTTGTTTTTGTGTCAGTCAGTCAGTCAGTCAGTCAGTCAGTCAGTCAGTCAGTCAGTCAGTCAGTATGTCAGTCAGTCAGTCAGTCCGTCCGTCAGTCAGTCAGTCTGTCTGTCTGTCTGCCTGACAAGTCTGCGTATGTGAACATTCCTAACGTGGGATGTGCAACAGTTGGTAGCTACAAGTGGGCCGCAGCATTAAAGAAGAAGCAGAGACGAGCTGCAACAGCCGCCAGAGCACGATCGACCCAAGCGTCAGCTTCTGGTTCGACGAACGAGCTCCCTCCCATCAGCTTCGAGACAGACTACCAATGTGAATGTATGTTAGCCTCAGCAAGTAGACGTGCTTCGAAGCTGGTGGGTTGTAGCCGAGCAGAAACGTGATTTGGGTTTTGTGGGTCGCATGGTGCTGCAGCTCATTGGCATTTGCCCCCGTGTGCTTGAGCTCGGCATGCGCGGACACTGTTTCGGACACGGTTGGCCATGCCATCTCTCAGGTCCGAGCTGAGCGCAGTCGCTTCGGTTATAGTTAGGGCTGAAAAGGCTAGGGAGTGGGCGTACTGGTTCAGTGCCGTGTCCTCCGAAGAATGCAGTTGAAGCATTTTTGGACAACCAGGCGAGCATGCAATGCATTCGTGCAAAAGCTGCCAGGTGTGCGTTGCGTCGCGTGTTTTTGACCAGCGTTCGTTGTTTGGTCCATGAGAAACGCATGCCGTGGCACCGCTCGTCATGTCCCTTCCTCCACCGGCTTGTCCGGAACAGAAACATCCGTAGCTGAACTTTTCTGTGACCGACGACATCGTTTCCCATACTACCATTCGCTCACAGATGGCTGCCTGTCGCCGTCGCCACGGTGAGTCGGAAGTGGACGTCCGAGCACGACGTCTGGTGCTGTGGGAGCACGCTTTGGTGCTCGACCTTGGCGACATTCGCCTTCCCAAGCCTTTTTTTCGACAGGTGAACGAAAAGTGCGTAGGTTACGCTGGGACGTTTAGTACCTCGCGGACGTAAAAAGGCGTATGAAAAAATTGCAAAAGGAAAGCCTGCTTTCGGTAACATGAATGACCGTCTCTGGTTACAAAAAAACAACTTTTGACACTAATGCACTTGGTGTCCCTGGTGCGCCCCAACTGACCGACACCATCCGGCTCTGCTTGAGCATTCAAACCATCCACAGCAACAAGCGTGCTATGGTGCATGTCTACAAGATGCATGGTCTCACCAATTTCAAACTCACTTGCGTCTCCTGTGTGCCGAACACATGTTCGTGGGCCGGTTATGCAACATATGTCGCTGGGTTCTCCTTGCTGACCAGCATGCCCAATGCAGTGACGGTCCTGCCAACCGAGGTAGCAATCGCAAGCAAGAAAGGGAACGGCCGACCAGCTGGATAGTGCCAGGCGAGGTGATGACGACGACGCTTTGCAGAGCTACAGCTACATCGGCGAAGACCACGTTTACAAGCAAGATCCCGACACATGCTTCAAAGTGTGTCCTCATTCCCACAGCCTCAAACATGAAAACTGATAGTGGTGAGTTCAACTGTGCAGACCAGCTCACTGTGCAGGGCAGGCCTTGCCCCTGGTGGTACTGCATGGTGCGAATTTGACACTCGTCGCGATTCGTCGCGTCACACTTCGTTCGGATCATGCTGAGAAGCATGCCTTCTGCGATAAGCACAGCGCAGACTAGAGCTACAGCCAGGCGGCCTAGGTGCCGCAGATGTAATATGATGTGCGCTGCACCCTTGTCGAAGCACAGCTCCAAAAGCTGCGTTTTCCTCCCACACCTCTATCCCCGTAGACTGCAGGTTGCACAGGGACCTCTCTGGAATGCCGGGCCCGGCACACACTGATGCGCCGGACCTGAGCGAGGTCTTGGACCTGGCCGACCCGGAAGGGCCGAGCCGCTTGCCGCTGTGCGGCTCGGCCCTAACACGGGACCGCGCGTCCCCGCCCGACAACCCGGCCTCGCCGGACATGACTGCTGCGGGAAAAAGGTGTGTGTGTGTGTGTGTGTGTGTGTGTGTGGAAAAAACAAGTCTTCTTCGCGATCTTCGCGCTGTTGCACAGAGGTGTGTTGAACAAAAAATATTTTGTTGACTGGGTTGAACCAAGCGACGGAAAAAGGACTTGGGACTGTCGAAAACCAGGTGTAGCAATTTGTGGCAGGAGGCAGATGTCCATTCTTTCATCAACCGCGTGAGAACTGCGGCTCCTGTAGGCGAGTTTGATGAGTTGTTGCCCACTCACAAATGCCGCGTTGAAGCACAGCCAGATCATGACGAACGTCGTGGCCAGCACCGACCCGGCCAGTTGCGTCGTTGAACACTCGCTGCAGTCGCAACCACGACTCAACGCAGAAGAGCGTGCCTTCCTGGCTTCTGTCACACACGATGCGCTGTATGACATGCCCTGGGACTCACGCTCTGCATCCTTTGCGCGTGATGGCCATCCCAGCATCATCATCGTTGGCCAGCGACTTGCGACCTTGAAAGCTATTGCCAACCATTTCTGCACCTTGGCACGTGCTCAGATGTGTTGTCCCCGAACATGTGTCCTGTCAGCTACATTGCTGCACAAAGGCTTCGAGGCAAGAAACAATCAAGAAACAGTCCATGCCATGCTCGATCTGATCAAGCGTCTGTGCCTCGATGTTTTGAGTGCGCGCATGTCTCAGTCCAAATATCGATTTCCTGCCTCGTAGGCTCGGGAAAGATGACACCGGCGGACAAACCCGAGTGCTTCACCATGGCTTAGCCAGTGTCATGCGCGCTCGAATGGCGCAGCTGACCTACGGAACATGCTAGCATGTAAAGGCCGTTTTTCTTTCGGTGGACTGCTGGTAGAAGACCACTCGAAAGTCGTGAGCTCGACGTTCCAACATGAACAACAGTAACAGAAGAAAAATCTCAAGCTCACCGTTCTTCTTGTAGCCCGCGGGGGGGGGGGGCGCGCCGATGGCACTCGCCGCTTTTGCCACGGCCGCACGATGGGTCGTGCAAGCAGCGCGGCAAGCCGCGCCGGAGGTGCTTCAGCTGCCGCAAAGCTGCCGCCAAGCCGCCCTTCACGCGGCGCTTACTTGCTTCGGGAACGCGCCGCAGTACTATCCGCCGGGTTGGGGGCCTTGCTCCCACGCACTTCGCGAGACGCCATGTGCCC